ATGAGCGTTGAAATATATGATCATATAGAACTGAGCGTCGAGGACCCTATATCACCGAGTTCTGACTTACGGAGAACCGCCCACATCGAGATACACATAATTGAGAGGAACTTAATAGTTAGGGGAATGCATGATAACAGTCTGGTTTTAAGCTGTCTGTTTCTTTCTCGAAGTCAGTTTGTTGAAGTGTAAGATCTAATCCATTTTTGTTCTCTCTCAGTGTGACATGTCATTAGATTTTCCATCAGAAAATGTACACTTGAAAAGCAAAACGCTGTAACAAGAAACATGTATCTACGTGTGTGTTTAGGCTAGCGAGGATGAAAAGTGTCCAGGAAAATCTTGTTACACGAGTACAACTGTAAATTTCTCCCGGCCTTCGCTCCGACGCCTCGCCAGCTCTCCCGCCTCGTCCATCAAACCGTCGCCTGAAAACACAGAACCTCCTCCTCCTCCTCCTGGGAAATCCGAGAACCGCGTCTTGTTCCCGAAGATAATGGACAACCGTCTCTTTCTCTTTAACTAACGTCATTGTCTCTTTTCGCGGCCCCCGTCATCTCGGTTTTTAACGGCCGGTGGTTGCTGCTCTCCGACAGGCCTGAGACTCGAACCAAAGGCGATATTTCATGGGGCCTTCAACGCGAACCTCAGCACGTCATCGTAAAGGACGTCTGGGAATCCATCTCTCCTGACCTGAAGGAGGCGATTTTCTCATTAGAGCAACGGCCCAATCCCTTTCCAAATGCCAGTACGTGACGAATCAGATGTCATTCGATCGATCATTGATGGAGAAATGGGAGAGATTGCACTAGCAAGATTTGTTGAAGTTTACCAGGTGTTAGGCATTCAGAGAAGGTTCTTAAACGGGCAAACTGGTTGTTTTAAATTCAAGTGGCGAAAAAAAGAGACCACAAGAAGCGAAAATTGCTGTCTCTTAAAGTACCACTTCGTGTGTTTTTCACCATGAAGCTCATTTTATGGGATCTGCTCCCGGATTCTTCCGTATGTTAGCGTTTGTCAGAGGAATTTGCTTTTTACCGATTCGGTTGATATTTATCATCTTCCAACAACTCCCACGCAGATCAGTCATACGAATCACTAAAACACACACATGTACACACCCACGGAAGGGAAATACAAATAAAACATGGATCACACACACACACAAACACACACACACACACACCTACACACACACACACACCTACACACACACACACACACACACACACACACACACACACACACACACACACACACACACACACACACACACACACACACACACACACACACACACACACACACACACACACACACACACACACACACACACACACACACACACACACACACACACACACACACACACACACACACGTACGCACACGTATACGCACACTTACAGACAGCTTAAGAAAAGGTTGTGTTCATGATCTTTCTTACGTTAATGATTTTTTTCCACTTTACTGTAAATGTTGCATTAATTTAGAACGATAATAATAACTATGAAAATAAAAATCAATAATAGTAATGACGATGACTGATAAAAATAATAAAGATGATAATAATAATAACAATAATACAGACAAATACAATACATAAAAATCGTAAGAAAAACGCTCACGTGCTTTTAACAAACAAAAGCAAAACAAAAAAACAAACAAAGCTATTACGATGCCACTTCAATCCAAAACCGCAAAACGTTTTTTTTTTATTTTCGTTGAGGCGATATGATTAATGGAAATAAAAAGGAATAATAAAAAAATGATGAAAGGACCACACGCACAACACCGATGAAGGTAAAGAGAAAATAGTGATAAATAAAGAAAAGACAACGGAAAGAATAATGAGAAAAAAATTGTATGATAAATAGAGACATGAAAAAAAAAGATAAATCAAAACGAGGCAAAGCAAATAATCTTAAAGAAGAAAAGAAGATAAACATAAATAGAGACACAAACATAAATAAACATAATAAAGAAAGACAAGATAACGAACAGAATGATAAATTAGATAGATAAATAAACTTTTTTTTTCGAATTCCCCCCAAAAAAGACAAAAAAATAAAACAGCATTAAGAATAAATAACAACAAATGAATAAAATAAAATAAATATATACATAAAACAATAGAAAGCAAAACTCGAAACAAATAAAGACAGAATAACATAAAGAAAAAAAAAAGAAAGAAGAAAAAAAAAATACACAGAGAGTCCCTTTTTTCGAACCGAATATCCGACTGTCAACCTGCCACTGTCAATAAAGGAATCACTTGACCAATGTGGTTTCCGTTCACTCCTGCAACACCATCGACTCTCCTTTGCAACGTCTTTGCAAGGGAGGCGCTCGGCGAGGCTACTGACGGAGGCTACGGCGTGGAAGGAGGGGAAGATGACGGTGGCGAAGGGCGTGGGTGAGGAGGGTTATAGGAAGATGGTGGGGGCGATGGTGACGATGATGGTGATGGTGAGGAGGAGGAGGATGGTGATGGTGAGGAGGAGGAGGAGGATGGTGATGATGATGATGATGAGGAGGAGGATGTTGATAGTAATGATGGTGATGATGAGGATGAGGAGAAGGAGAATGGTGATGGTGATGATAATGGTGAGGAGGAGGATGGTGGTGGTGATAATGATAATGATGAAGATGATGATGGCAGTGATGATATCGTGGCCTAGAATGATGACAAAGACAACGAAAGCGACGCAACGACGAAGACATCGCCAACGAAGACGACGACGCAGACGGTGACGCAGATAAAACAAACGACGACGGAGACGACGACGCAGACGGTGACGCAGATAAAACAAACGACGACGGAGACGACGACGCAGACGGTGACGCAGATAAAACAAACGACGACGGAGACGACGACGCAGACGGTGACGCAGATAAAACAAACGACGACGGAGACGACGACGCAGACGGTGACGCAGATAAAACAAACGACGACGGAGACGACGACGCAGACGGTGACGCAGATAAAACAAACGACGACGGAGACGACGACGCAGACGGTGACGCAGATAAAACAAACGACGACGGAGACGACGACGCAGACGGTGACGCAGATAAAACAAACGACGACGGAGACGACGACGCAGACGGTGACGCAGATAAAACAAACGACGACGGAGACGACGACGCAGACGGTGACGCAGATAAAACAAACGACGACGGAGACGACGACGCAGACGGTGACGCAGATAAAACAAACGACGACGGAGACGACGACGCAGACGGTGACGCAGATAAAACAAACGACGACGGAGACGACGACGCAGACGGTGACGCAGATAAAACAAACGACGACGGAGACGACGACGCAGACGGTGACGCAGATAAAACAAACGACGACGGAGACGACGACGCAGACGGTGACGCAGATAAAACAAACGACGACGGAGACGACGACGCAGACGGTGACGCAGATAAAACAAACGACGACGGAGACGACGACGCAGACGGTGACGCAGATAAAACAAACGACGACGGAGACGACGACGCAGACGGTGACGCAGATAAAACAAACGACGACGGAGACGACGACGCAGACGGTGACGCAGATAAAACAAACGACGACGGAGACGACGACGCAGACGGTGACGCAGATAAAACAAACGACGACGGAGACGACGACGCAGCCGGGACGACGCCAGCGGGCAAAACCTCGCGCCGCTCGCAGGCCGAAAACGAATGGGATTGCTCTATCTAACGTCTGGTTGCACAAAGCGTGAACTCCGGTCCGCTGCGATTAGACAATGCATCAACAATCCCACTTGACACGTGCTTATTTTGGAACAATTACTGAACGCAAGAACACAACAACAATAATAATGTAATAATTACACTTTGTTTTTGTTTTTTTTTGTTTTGTTTTTTTGTTATCTGGTCGAAGTTTGCTGGAACTGAACGCGAGATTGAGTCATTTGCCGTTTCCTTCAGCAACAAAGAATATCGACCAAGTATACATTTATCTTCGAGGAAAAAAAAAAATAATAGCAAGGAAAGAAAATTCCTTCGGTGTGGTTAGAAGAGAAACAAAAATATATGATTAAAAGATTCAAAAAAGTTTTTTTTTCATTTCTTTTATTTCTATTATTCATATTTATTTATTTATCTTATTTATTTATATTTATCTATGTCTATTGTTCATTTCCTTATTTCTATTATTTATAGTTATTTATTTCTATTACTTATAATTATTTATTTCTATTATTTCTCTTTATTTCTTTCTATTATTTATAATTATTCATTTCTATTATTTCTCTTTACTTCTTTCTCTTACCCATAACTATGTATTCCTGCTACTTACATTTATCACATTTTCATCATATATTTTTCTTTAATTCTTCTCTTCTTATTTCTCTCTCTCCTGAATCGCTCTCGCCCGGGAGGAAAGCCGCAGCACAAGAGGGAACAAAGCCAGGACAGAGGTCTTGGCGCCGCTGGACAGATGTTCTCCAGTTCTGCGGCGACTTCAAGGTGTTCTCCGTCGCCTAATAACTATGCTTTGGAGAACCATTGGCGTCGGGCGGGCGATTTCCGGAAAAGGGCCCCCGTGGTCGGCGTTTCGAAACGGGACGAATCTTTTGGAAAGCTTGTCGTTTCTGAATGTTTTTTTTTTTTTTTTTTTTTGTGTGTTTTTTTTTCGTTGTATGCAGGTTGATGTGTTTTGTTTTTCTTTTCTTTTCATTTTTCTTTTTGTCTCTCTTTTTTTATTTGTTTTTTTGTTCTATGTCTCTCCTTCCTTTTTTGTATATTATCAAAGCCGAAAGGGAAACATAATAAAGATAAAGGAAGGTTCCCTAAAGTGAAGTAAGAAAAGAAAAGAGAGAGAGAGAGAGATTAAAAAGGAAAAAGAAAGAATAGGGTGAACACAAAATAAGAAAAAAAAGAGGAATAGAGACAAGAAAAGAAACAAAAAGAGGGAGAGGGACAAACAACCAAACAAAAAGGAAAGGCAACGCTCAATCTTAGTGATTTACTCTATCAACT